TTAAAAAAAAAAATGTTTCCATGATTTTTAGTCATGGTTATGTAATATTTCTTGCATAAATCACGGTCTAAGATTCAAAGGAAAACATGGTACAAAATTTCCTTTGTAAAAAATAAGAAGTTCAAAACATAATTCATGCTGATTTCCAGTCTTGTCACATGAATATGAATATGATAAGATCAGAACATGTCAAAACTTAATAAGTTGTGTGTTTAGCAAAAAATAAAATAAAATAAGTTGTAACTTCCATCCTATATATATAAAATTTGATGGTTGACAAAAATAAAATAAAATATATATAAAATTGATGGTAATGATGATTTTATGGTTAATTAGTTGAATATCACTTTTGAAAGATGAAATTGGATAAATAACATGTCAAGAAAGATAATTAAGTAAGTAGCAAAAATAAATAAATATAGGACGAAATTGCTTTTACACATGCAATAAAAGTAAGTATTAAAAAATTCAAAAAATTATATTATGTTTTCATCTCTCAAAAATTTTCCATGCCATTGTGTATTTATCTTTGATCTCTGGAAACAAAATAAAATTGGATTAGAAAAACAGCCAGAAAATATGACAATAAAGAAAATATATGTATCAGTTAACTATTTAATAACTTAGTTGACTATTTTCGAAACTACATATTCTTAATAACATAGTTGACTATTTTGAAAACTACATATTTTATATTTTATTGATATCAGAAGATAGTTAGCTACATCACACTAGTTTTTAATTATCTAAAATATAGTTAACTATTTTTTCAGAAAATAGTTAACAATTTGAAAGCATAGTTAACTATTTTCACAACATATTTGTCTACTTTTATCGACTTTATAACATAGTTGACTACATAAAAATGTTGTTGTAATAGTTACATGTTTACAAAAACATAGTTAACTATGTTCAGAACGTAGTTATCTATTATAGTTTGCATAATGAAACAGAATAACATACATATTTAGCTATTAACAGATTTATCTACTATAGTTTACATAATGAAAAAGAATAACATACATAATTAACTATTATAAAAAACATAGTTACCTATTATACTGATTTTTTAATATAAAGTTGTTTTGTGGATCACAATAGAGAAAAGAGATCGATTATGATATAAATTGTTTTTTTTTTTATTGTTTTTCGTTAAAGGTAAAAACGAAAAATCAAGACATAAATTGTTATCACTAAATTTTGATTTATTTTATGTTAGATGTTGAATTAGATGTTCTTTAGGTATTATAGAGCCTAATTTCCCATGATTTTATTGTGCAGTTTCAAGTACTCTTGATTATATACTTAGATTTGGAGTGTTCAATTTTTTGTTTTTTTATGTTTTACTTTTTGTAAATTTATATTTTTTTGTCTGGATTAAAGATGTATTTGGTTTCACTTTTGCAGTTGAATTAACTTGATCCGACGATTAAAAAATCATTTGTGATAATTTATCAATGATATTTTAGTTGCTTATGCGTTTGATCTACAATCTTCATTTCTGCATTCAGTTTGTTCTGTTTGCATATATATAACATGTAAAAACATAACAGAACCCAAAATGCACCTAAATGCATGCCTTGCAAGGCGCCTGATGCAGTAATGGTACTGCATGAAAGTTCTAGATATTATATGCGCATGCGCGTGAAGGTGTATAATTTCCGGATACAACAACTTAGGTATATATATAATTAGTGCAAATTATCTAAATTAATTTTTAATTGACTTCTATAAGCAAGCATTGCCAGAGTAACAGTTTGGTCTTCCTTTTCTTTGGTGCTTCCCCTTCTTATTTAAAATTATCAATACGTAAGCACACTTCAATCAAAAAGAGCTTTTACTTAAAAAAACGCTCAATACAAACAGATAAAAGGAATT